AAGATCAATCGATAATTGTACTTTCAGTTCCTTTGTTTTCATTGTGATTGTTTTTTACATCTGCTTTATAATGAGCAATAAATCGTGCGGATGGATCACGAACTCCCTTTACCCATTGCGGCATCCAAAAGTATGGTACAAAGTTTTCTGCTTGACCTCCAAAATGTTTCTCAAAGATTTGTCTGAAGTACAGATTAATATTTATTTTTGAATACTAATATTTACTGATAAAATGTAAAGTAAATATGGAGACGAATATGCTACCTGTAATAAAATGCTTCTTTAGTATTTGGGGTACAATGTGGGTATTTTAAATGAACTTTTTCTAATTCCTCGTCTGTTATGCGAGTGTCCACAATATCATGTATGATATGGAAGAGTGATTTTTTAATTGATGTTACACCATCACTGAATGCTTCTTTATGTCTCCATAATATATTTGATGGCAACAGATTTGTACCATCAAATGCTGATCTTAATAAATGTTTTTCTATTCCTCCTGCATTAAATATCATATATGAAATCCAATTCAATTTGTTAGTCCTTTGTTTGTTTATAATATTATACCTTGAGGTTGTCTAGAAGCAGCATCTAATGATAGGTAATAGTTTGTGAACTGAATATCTAAAAATGGAACTCGTAGTTCCAAACTAAATGCACTGGTTGTCCTGTCTGCTCTCAAGCCATCATATAAATAGATATCTTTTAATAATCGAATAGATTCATTATGAGCTTCTACCGCATTGGGCGCATCTCTGAAATAAATGTATCCTTGTGCCAGCTCGTCTGCACCTTCTCCACTGAATATTACAACTGTTTTTGTATTATGTTTAATGTATCTTGAGATAAGATACATACTGAAATTTATATTAATGTTTTTGAGTATATACTGATTATTTAATCACGAAGTTAAAATATTTAATTTGCAGACAGAATAATTCACCCAATGGAAGCTCGAATTGTAGTAATATCACAAGTCTCCAACTGATAAATGAGTTTATCTAAAATATTAGCAACATCTTTTTCTGAAAATATTATTTCATGATGATCTGTTCCTATGTGTTCTGCAACCTAATAAATATTATTATATTTAATGATTTAATATAAGGAATGAATCATTTTGATATAAAAATATCGTCTCTAACTTGTCTAGCTGCAATAATATCTGGACTATCTCCCATACCAATTGCAAAACTTTTTATTTTATATGGTAAGTTCATCTCTTTTGCATGTTTTACAAGTAAAGCAGCAATTAAACTTGAATCTAAACCACCTGATAATAGACACCCAATTTCTCTATCAGTCATTAATCTTTTTTTTACAGCAGCTGAAAGTAACTTTCTTATATTTTCATGTACATCTGCAGTGTTCAAATCTAAAAAAGAAGTCCATTATTTATTCCATTATTTCATTTTATCTATGTAGGATTTATCAATGTTGTGTTGTGTGATTCAACACACCATTCCAAGGAACATAAGTTTCAAAACTGGGTTTATCTCCAGGTTTATAATAGTTTGTTTTAGTCAATAATTTTGTTCTACCATCATTTAGAATTTCATATTCTTCATAATAACCTGGTGGAAATGGTTCCAATATCCATTTTGATGTTATTTGTTTTGATACTCCAATAAGTCCCTAAACAAATATTTTAATGCAAAAAATATTTTTTTGTACTGACATAAATTACATTTTATTATTTAGTTACCTTGCTTTCTGAAGAAATTGCAAGTTGTCCATCATCAGAATATAAGCGGAAAAGAGGTCTAACACCATAAGGATCCCTAGCAATAAGAATTCTTCTATTTTTTATATCCATTAAACAAAATGCAAAAACACCATCAAGCATTCTAACAACATTTTCAGCACCAAAATGTTCATATATATGTATTATTACTTCAACATCACATTTGGTAGCATATGCAAATCCATGCTTCAAAGTAATCTATAAAGTTACAATTTATGCAATCAACTAACCAACTAATCTATAAACTAATATATCATACCAAAAATAGGACAATTACATAAAAACAAAATAGTTGTAGTTAAATAAAAGTGAATATAGAATGCTTTACCTCTTTGTAATTATAAATTTCACCATTACACAATAGAAACAAATGTGGATATTGATAAAGTCTCATTGGCTGCATTCCATAAAGATATATTATTCATATTATGTACTCATTATATTAATGAAAGCACATATAAATATTTAAAAAATTTTAACAAAGTCATACTTTAACTCTACGGTCATATTCAAGTTTGAATGCTTCTGGACCACGATGTACTATTTTCTCAAAATGTTCACATATATGACTTAAAGATGGTATATCTAATCCAAAGAGAGACCAAATTCCACACATTTTTGTTATAGTTTGCTAATATGTTGGCCTACAATAAATTATTATTAGTTTATAACAGGAACATCTGTTCTGAAAGATTAAAGTACACATTATAACATAAAATATTAAAAACAATGACAAATACTTTATGGAAATATAAGAAACGTATTTTACCAAAACTAAAATTCTTCTCTTCTTGTTTCATTTACTGGTTATATTCGTGACGCTTGAAATTGTAAAATTTCCGATGCAAATCAAACGATTTACTTTTATAGTCATCTTCATGTACACGTGTATGAATACGTATATGCATGTATTCCATGCCCATACTTATGTATTTAGATGCGACTGCGCCCTCTTTTTTGATATAACATTGATGATAGTTGTTAATCAATAGAACATTGGAACCAAGAAACATAAAACATAAAAAATATATGTTGGAGCGGAGTTTAA